GCACATTGGAGGAAGGTAAAAAACAGTGGGACATATACCTTCAAGATGGGAAAAATAATGAAACTTGGGAAACTTCCTTTGTTTGCTCTTTCTGTCTAACCTGTATTACCCTTGCTGTGATTTGAGCTTAGTTACAGTAGTTAAAACTGTGGAATCGTTTAATAGGTAGGTTGCAGTTTCTCCATTACTGGTGGTTTTAAAGAAAAGATGAAGCCAGGGATGTATTAGGTAAAGCTGATTCTGTTGGGGGATCTTTCCCTGCTCTTTTCCATGATGCAACCTCCACCCCATACGGTGACTTGGAAATAAGTTTTCTGTCCCTATGGCGAGCACCTCGCAGTCTTGTCTGCTGTGTGTAAAAAAGACACGTATAGCAACCTACACAAGAGCTGTCTTCTAAAAGCTGCCTAAAGGTTACTGGATTGGGATCTGCTGCTGAGGTGGACAGAAAATTTTAAGACTGTTGTTGAAAGTCAGCACTATATGGATTGTGGCAGCTGGATATAAAAGTGGTTTCTAATGTGATGGTGCAGACTTTCTCTGCTAGAAACCTTACTATAAAAATCTGATTATTTCCATTTTGTTTTAAAGGTGAATTGCTGAACTTGATTTTCCTCAGCGTCCTGAGTATCTTTTAATATCTTTTTACAGACTGCAGGTGCCACAAAATAACATTTCTTTCCTTTAAGCTGTGCAAGTATGTATAAATAATTGTATAAATGCATGCATAAATAATTGCATTGATGTACAAAGAATAGTTACGGGTTTGTTTTAATTCTGATATCTCTGTTTCTGGATGGCCTTTTTAAAAGATGCAGGACCAAAGGACTTTCAGAATGGTCCTGCAATTGTGTTAATAGGGAATACACTGCACTAAGCAGTACAACCTGAAGAGTAAGAACCCAAATATTTTTTTTTCTACCTAGCTTGTTTTTATATATTTGCGAGGAAACAAAAGCATACAGTGTGTAGTCCTTTAACGTTGTTGTGGGCTAATTCCAATGAAACTCCCTAACAGCACAGCTTTTGAAAAATGGAAAGCTTTTTCGTATTATGTTTATACGGACGCAGGATTCAAGTTTATCAGTTTCCTTCCCTTTCATTTAATTGAAAGTTCACAGCACTTGCGCCAGTTCCTTCCAAGAGTCTGGTACAAATCCTTCTGTACGCTGAAGGAATGTCCGAAGCGCTGGAATCACGAACCTTTTAATCCTTTAAACAACAGAAAATTGTTTTGAATCTCGCTTCCGCTTTGGGAGGGCTGGAATTTCTGATACTACAAAAGAAAATGCCCAAACTTGCCTACAGATGGCTGATGCCTGCAGCATCTCATGCACTCAGCATAACTGTGTGCAGAATTGCTGCCTCGCAAGGGATGGATTGCCAAACTTGCATGTGTTTCTGAGCTGTTCCGTGACTCTAATCAAAGAAAACCACAAGTACTGGGAAACTACAGAAATCTCAATAACAGAAGTTTTATTTTGGGCTAGTTCAGCCAATAGAACCATATTTAATTATATTTAAAAGTATAAGGTAAAATACCCTAGAAAACTGATTTGATAAAACCAGATTCTGTTTGCAGTTCAGATGGGAGATAAAGGTCTTAAGAAGTAAGCACAGGTTGTGTCTGTGCACTGTGAGGCTGTGTGGTTTGCTGCAATGCTGACTTTTAGGGCTCTCGCTCCCAGAACAAAAAGGCTGTGGCTGTGAGATCTGTAGAGCTAAACTTGTGCCAGAACTATTTCTTATTTAACTCTGTGGCAGGAACTTTAATGCCAAATCAAGTCCAGTCTCTTAGTCATTCTTAACTTTATATAGGAGCAGCAATGTGATATCATCTGTCCTTCCACAGCCAGTGTAAACTCTGTATTGTTCTGGGTACCATCTGCTCTGTCCTGGCTCCTTTCATAGATGGGCCGTTGTGAGTCTGTGCTTGGTCTGGATCAATCTTGTATTACTGGGTTATCTGATAGCTGGCAGACACGGAATTCATTTTCACGGATCCATGGCCTGGGTATCTGTCTCATGCCCACTGTTCCGTTGCGGTAGTCTGCATCAGAAAAGGGATTTGGGGTTTTGGATACATTTAAGCACTTTTTGCTGTGAAGTTCAGTCGATTTAAATTACTTTATCACGCAGTGAAGCTTTGGTACTTGAAGAATTCTACCTGTAGTATTCTCTTTATTGGCAGAATAACGAATTCATGGTTACTGGCATTTAGGAAAAGATGCATTTATTTAATGTTAGCTTTCACTCCTTTGTGGCTGCCATACATAGATCAGTAAAGCAATAAAATTAGCACTTTTTTTTTTTTTTAAAAAAAAAGGTAAATGAGAGAATCTTCCAGCATATTGTGGTGGAAGAAATGCATTGTTACAATTCCATGGCATGGTGCTTACTCTTTCATTAGGCTTCCACTTTATGAGTATCTAAAGCTAGAGTTCTTAATTTAGTGCTTGCTTTGGCTTGACTGAGTCTTAAGACTGCAGTCTTACATATGGTTCTAACAAAAGTAATCCTTGTCTCATAGCTGGTTGTATAGGCTTAGGTCAATAGTTTAGTATGAATGTATACACTGCCATAAATCTGGATGGTAAAAATACATGTATAGTGAAATTCTATGGTCGTTTTCATTGTAGGAATAAAACAGACTGTTTCCTTTCAGGATTTACAGTTCCTTGCTTGGTCTTGTTTGGACATTTTAAAAATGAATGATAATTCATGGGAGATGATGTTTCTACTTCTAACTAGCAGGAATTCAGATCTACTGTTTGGGGATGGGGGAAATCAGTAAAAATCTGGAATGCTGCAATCAAAACAGTAAAGTCAGAAGGAAATGAATTGAAGGCCTTTTGAGTTGTGTTGGCACTTCTTCCTTTTTGAGAAGGTTTTTAGACTAACAGCTTGAGCTACATAAACTTGAAATATGTCTCAAGTGTTTGTTTATGTGAATTGCTTTCTAATGAGGTCATAGCTGTTTTCCCGGACACAGTGGTATTTCCTCCTCTTTCTCTTTTTTTTTTTTTTTTTTTTAATGCTGCATTCTACATTATGCCTTGAAGACAGAACAGGCATATAAAAATCAAACATTGCTCAGGATACTTCCCAGTTTCAACTCTAATGCTTTACAATCATATTAAATGACTTGAGGCTGGAGCTCAACAGAAGTGTATGTGGAAAGAAATACTAGAGTCCCTGAAATGCTTTAGAGTTTTAAAGAAAAAGCTGTGTCATTGTCAAAAGTAACTCAGTTCCCAAAAGTAAGAGGATTGGGGTGGTGGAAAGGAATCTGCAAATCCTGAGTTTTCACTTAAATATTTTTCATCTCCCATGTGAGATGGAGCACTAACCAAAAAAGAAAAATCACCTGACCATAAAGTGGGCACAGTTTTCAGCCCTATGTGGCTAGGTGCTACACATGTGAGTAAATAAATAGTCTTTTCTGTGTATTCTACAGAAATCAGCAACATAGGCAATTGTCCTTTCTTTCCTTTGCAATGTTTAGTTCAGATGTAATGAAATGTGATGGGTTTATATACAGTTCGGTAATGTTCTTAATTTTGACTTTGCTGCTGAAATAAATAGCTTCCTGTTTGCAGAACCTTTGGCTTTTGAGACTGCTAGATTCTGAAAAAATAAATCTGTTTACTAGAATCTATTTTACCTCAGGTAGGTGCTTTCAGGTATCTTGGGCTAGTGTCATAGAAAGCCAAAAGGTTTATTCTGAAGTGGGGAAGAGGGAGGAGACTTAAGTCATTGAGTAATGTAATGATGAAACTTGAAGTCATGATTTCCTAATGACTAATGTGGTGTATTATAGTTGAAACTAAATTTGGAGTATTTCTTCTATGGTGTCTTGAGTCACAATGATTCAGCCCTGGGCTGTGGAGCTGCACAGTGGGGTGGGGGTGGGTGGGTGGGTAGGGGTGTCAGTTAGGCTGGTTGAACTGAATACGCTCTGCTGGCAATAGGTGGTGGAGGCGGAGGTAAGTTTGTATGTATGGGGTAACTGCAAGGTCAAAAGCCCTAAGGAGACCTTATGATGTATTAATGATGTGTGGATCTGCTTCATAATCTGGAACCAAACCTCTTCAGTTATAAAAAAAAAAATAAAAAAATAATAAAAAGTGGCTAAATCTGCAAACTGTTTGGTTGGTTTAGTTAGCATTTTTTTTTTCTCTAATGCTATCAAAGTGAATAGGCAATGTCCTTCCCAAAATACTTAAGAATTTTCAGAGGCTTTTAGTTTCCCACGAAGTTTGGATTTAATTATACGTTAGAGCTCTGCTGTAGGTGGAAGCATAAAAGAAATAGTCTTGTGTTTTTGAAATGCTAAAGTGATCACATAAATATTTATTACTATTGAGGTTATTTTCTGTGGGGAGTATAGATATGAGCTGACTAGCACAGCTCCAGGTTGCTTGGACTGAGAAGCATTCAGTTCTGCATAACAGATCATGCAGTCACAAAATACGTTTGTTGTTTATTTGTTGGTTTTTTTTTTAAACGTATCCCTAGGGATTGAACAGCTTGAGTGCAATTTGTCCACCTGTGTACGAAGTCCTGCAGAAAGGAAGATTACACTTAAGAAATATCAGAAACTCTTCTTAAAACAAAAAACTCTATTGCTTCATGTGCTAAAATTTGAAGTAGCTTCTGGCTCATCCAGAATGAGAAATATTTAACACCTATGAAGAAATACCAGTGCCTTAACCTTCCTTCAGTATTTTAATTTTTAACATGGAGATTTTTAATTGTAAATATTTGCTCTGAAAGTAATTTTTAATAGCATTTTATTTTCTTCCGTTGTTGAAACGGACAATAAAATATACCATGTTCTTAAAAAAAATATTTGAGTTCAGAAAATGGAAGAAGAATCAGCTGTCTCTTTATATCTGTTTTTTGTCAGTAGCAACATGAGTTTAACTATTTTGCTTTTATCAATATCTGTAAAATACATATGTATTTATTTTTTTCCACTCCCCTCCTTCTTTTTTCAGAAGTGAAGCCAACTTGCATATTTAACAGCATGGAATATTATGATGGAGACATGTTTCGAATGGATGCTTGTCGTTTCTGTCGATGCCAAGGTGGAGTCTCTATTTGTTTCTCTGCCCAGTGTGGTGAGCTACACTGCGACAGGTACTATGTGCCAGAAGGAGAGTGCTGCCCAGTGTGTGAAGGTACAGTATCTTTTTAATCCTGTCTGCTTATTAATTCTGCTGCTTTTTTTAATTTGCTTTTTCAATACAAATGAGGAACCAAGTGCTTTATTTCGTTCTTCTAAAGTTTGCAGATTCCTCCTTAATTCAGTTTATTTCTACATTTTTGCTGTGTCCGAGTGTGCTGTCTTTTTTGCAGTGCTTTTCTGATACTGACACTCTGCCCTCTTTATATAGAGCTGTTTGGGCTTCTTTTCCCTTCTGCATCAGAACTTCCTCAGACACGGTCAAATGTGCAGTACTTTTGGGGGGTTCTTCTTCCCAAAGGACATATGAAACTGTTCCTAATTTCTGCACCAGGTATTTAGACAGGCTTCTCCAAAGCAGCAGTGGTGGCCGTAAGTCACACTTCCATTGCTTTGCAGCCTGCTTCTTCCAGTCTTGTTCTGTTCAGCTAGAGCAATGCATACACCTTCTCTTCTCTACAATTATGGCAAAGAAAGAGGGCAATAATCTGACTTCAATGTTTTTTATCTTTCTCCTTTGCCCTGTTCGACAGCCTTCTCTGATTGCTGGGCCTGCAGTCCTCCTAAAAAGGATTCTGTGGGAAATTTCATGTTGACCCTCTTGCTTACACTAGAAAATATTTGACGCATCTTCTGCCAGAATACAACCAGGATTCCAGCAGAGGGAGATGGGGCTCGTACTCTGCACTTGGGTCTTGCCCAGTTGGGGTCAAATTATGGCCACGACACAAAGGCCTGTGAAGTGCTCCTGGTCCTTGTGTTTAAATGTGAACTTAGGAATGACTTCCCAATAAGCAAAATAAGCTGGAAATCTCAAATCTCCTCCTAAGAGGAAAGGAATCTAATTATTAATGTCACTGTCACACACTTTGTAGTGTACTTAATTTCAATATTCCTGTAGTTTCTTGGAGGAGCAAATAAGCCAAATGGTCCATGATAGTTGTGCTTCATTCCCAACAGAGAATTAGGAAAGCAAAGAACCTTGTAAAAATGAGTTTAAAAGAGGCAGCTGTAAGAGTTGGACCTTCTGTTTTGGTGGCCTGTTCTGTTACAAACTACTGAAAACTTCTTCGGAGATTTAAAAAACGAAAATCTGGATAATGAAATATCAGGGTGGGTAAGGTAGGAAGTCATTCTTTAAAGAGTATTTGTATTTTTATAAATTTTAGTGTATCAGTTCATATCAGATAGGTTGATACATGGTATTCACATGTAGAGAAGTTGAAATACAAATGCTGTAGGCTTAAGTATTCTAAAGAGACACCAGTCCATGTTTGCCCTGTGTTTAAGATCCGGTCTAGACATTTGTTATTGACTATAGTTGGAGACAGGATGCTAGACTTCTTGGTCTTTCCTGGTACAGTTGTGCCTGTGCTTTTAAGAGCCTTCAAGTGGTGGGGGGAAAAAAAAAAAGATTCAGTGCTATCCCATCATTTAATGACAGATTGAAAAAGTTTAGAGAAGGCACATGTGATGTGGTAAAACCCTTCCTGAGGAAGTGCAAATCCACTCCTGAAGAAATTGCTGTATGAGCTGCTGACTTTATAGAACATGTGAAATCTGTTGTTTTTTTCCTATAATTGCTATTTTTTACATACGTGAATATTCTGAGATTTGGCATTATAAAATCATTATGACAGTGTTTATAGATACATAAACAATGTATCTATATATCTGCTATATCTGGGCTCCCCTATCAGCTCTGTCATACTCAGATGAGGATGCTGATCTTCCACATTGGACTTACAGTTCTAGATATGTCCTTCGTCCTCTTTGGTGATTTTAATACTCAGGTATCTTATGATTTATCAATAAATTGTTCTGTCGTATCATCATATGGTGTTAAAAGTTGATTCTTCCATTTTTGCAACCTTTGAATCAGACTATCAAGAAAACCTGTTAACATTTCATTCTGGGTATGATAAGTTGGTATTAGGCATGCAATGGAAATTTCTTCTTAAGACAGGTCCTTAGTAGATAGAATAAAATGGATAATGACTTACAATTAAGTACAATCTTCTTTTTCAAGTAATGGCTGTAATTTAGTTTCTGCTCAGCTGACTGAGTGCCAAGTTACAGGGTCTTTTATCAAATCATCCAGCATTGTTTGACTTGCTTGTTTCTGTTGAGTGCTTTTCTGATAGGGCTTGTAGCACTAAATCAAGCCAGCAGGTTGAGGGAGGTGATTCTCCCCCTCTACTCCACTCTGGTGAGACCTCACCTGGAGTGCTGTGTCCAGCTCTGGGGCCGCCAGCATAAAAAGGACATGGACCTGTTGGAGCAGGTCCAGAGGAGGGCCACGAAGATGATCAGAGGGCTGGAGCACCTCTCCTATGAGGACAGGCTGAGAGAGTTGGGCTTGTTCAGCCTGGAGAAGAGAAGGCTCTGGGGAGACCTTATAGCAGCCTTCCAGTACCTGAAGGGGGCCTGGAAAGGGAGAGGGACGTTTTACAAGGGCATGCAGTGGTAGGACAAGGGGTAATGGCTTTAAATGGAAAGAGGGTAGATTTAGACTAGATGTAAGGAAGAAATTTTTTACGATGAGGGTGGTGAAACGCTGGAACAGGTTGCCCAGAGAGGCAGTAGATGCCCCATCCCAGGAAACATTCAAGGTCAGGTTGGACTAGGTCATCTTTAAAGGTCCCTTCCAACCCAAACTATTCTATGATCAAGGAAGTCTGATTTCTCCCTTCTGAATGATTGGACAGTAACATATATGTTGTTTATTTTCTTGGTTCCTTTAAACATTTAAAAAGAAAAAAGAAAGCTCTGATCCCTTTCTTAACTCGCATTATGTTAAGTGACATCAAAAGTGACAAGGTAAGTCTTTCAAATGGGCAGAGTGTATACTTAACAGCCCACCTGTTAATGCTTTTCTAGTTGGTGAAGAGGTGGCATTTTCTTCTACCTGTTGTCTTTCTATTTGGTTATTTTATGACTGATTTTCAAGGTGATTAACTTTTTCCTACTGATATTTTCTTGATGATGGAAATATAAAGAAATATAATGCTTTCTTCTTTTCTGCAATAATTTCAGAATAGCAAATGGTAAATTTCCTGTGCATTGTGTAGTACAGGCACAAGCCCTTCTTGCCTTAGCTCCAGGAAGAATTCTTTCTCAAGGTCCTGTAGGATTCCTCAGCATCAGGAAATGTAATTTGCTAGGCTCAATTTATAGCTTTAAATACTATTGACCTTTTAAGAGTACCAGGAACTTTGTGCTTTGACTCACGTAAAAGACTATTGCAAATAACACGAGTCTTATGGCTTTTCTGTGCTTTCTCTGTATTCCTGTGTCAATCAGGATCCCTTCCATGAGTTGAATGATAAAATTCACTTCATTTGTTTGTGTATGAGTTGATTTTGGGGTAGGTCAAAGGTGATCCTAGACGCAAGGTAATCCTAAAACAAAAAAGGTGCTAAGAGATTAGGAAACATCTTAATTTTTACATGTCTTATTTTCCCAAACACTTGTTTTTTATGTTGGCTTAACGCATTATGCTAAAATTGGGACTATCACTAAAATTCAGAATGGGAGTGAATGCCAGGTAGAGGCAGAAGCTGTATGCAGTTTCACTCCAAATGTTCAGAGTTTGATAGTGTCATAAGCTTGGTACAATGGCTTATAATAAGACAACAGCTATTAGCACTGCTACAGGTTTTATCTACACTTAACATGGATTGCCTTCCTTCTGAAGGGGACTGATGAAACTTCAGAGTCCTTCCCCCGCCCTGCTTTAAATAGGACATCTCTTTTCTCCCAAATCCTTCAAACCTAACACTTTCTGATAATTGACATATGGTTAAATGACTTGTGCTTATTTGATGTCTGCTATCTGATGTCTGCTAAAACAATGCTTTTAGTTGTGTTTATTGTTTTCCATATATTGAATTTGCTTTAATATGTAACTTGTATTAGTGCTTGCTTTGAAAACTTGACGTGATTACTGTACGTTCTCAGATACTTAATTTTTGAGTCTAACAGTTATCTTTTTATTAGCCACCATGATAAGTTGCATACATTCACATAATGCATGTATTTCTACTATTAATATCAGTGTCGCTTGTTGCATTTCTGAAGAGTAAAACATGTTCTTTCTGAAGGGTAAAAGCTGCTTTTATTTCAAGTCATGAATTAGCATATAGAGTGTTGCATTATTTATTTGCATGAAACCTGAGGAGAAAACTCATGTAAAGTATATGCCCCAAAATTCTGTTATGTAAATATCTGAGTGTTAATTTGATTGCTAGCAGGTAAATGGGCCTTGTAGCTTTTAAAGGTAAAAAGCTCCAACTAAAAAGAAATTGAAAAATGAGCCAGATAATCTGACCAGGAAAACTAGTATATCTCCAAAACTGTGATGAGATGTAGCTTAAGGCAGACTCCTTGTTCCAGCAGAAAATGTGCCAGAGGTCTCATCTGTAAAATAGTGGTGCAAGGCTGACAGGAGTCATTCCAGCGGTTCATTGAGGTGTTTTCAGTTCCCCTCAGAATTTAAGTTGATACAAAAAAAATGGATCAATAGATCTAAGATCCATTTTGTTTTGAAGAACAAAATCGGAAAATCCAAAAATTAAACCTCTTAAACACAACCCAGCCATTTGTAAATACGTTTTCCATACTAGATCTGCTTGTAGCATACAAAAATGGCATTGAAATAGTTAAAAAATATCTGAATTTATAAATGTTCAGTATAAGTTGACTTATCTTTTTCAACAGTAAATTTCAATATTGAAATATCAAAGTTGTTACCTATCTTATTTTATCACTGTATACCACAGTGTGGTTCTTTTAAGGTTTGATAGTGGCTGCACTTAACGGTTTCGAGGTAATGTAAAATCACAGTATTGCAGTTATGCATATATAAAGTTTAGGCATAAAAGAAAAGATGAAACTTCTTGTTCTCTTGCAATTCCTCTCATTTCAGACCCAGTTTATCCGGTAAATAACCCTGCTGGCTGCTATGCCAACGGTCAGATCCAAGCTCATGGAGACCGCTGGCGAGAGGATGACTGTACTTTCTGCCAGTGCATCAATGGAGATCCACACTGTGTTGCAACAGCCTGCGGGCAGAGCTGTCTAAATCCTGTTAAAGTCCCTGGGGAGTGCTGCCCAGTTTGTGAAGGTAAGATTGGTATTTCCTCTATTATTCTTAGGTATGTCATGGCTGCTACTTACCTGGTAGTTCCTGGTTTACTTTAAAATTTTGGAGGACTGAAGTAGCTGGTACAGCATTGCCTGGGACTGAATAAACTAGTGAGGGTGGGAAAAATAAGCATGGTTTAACTACACCTGTATGTGGCAATGCCTGATACTCTTTTGGCCCGAAAGAATATAGTAAGAGGTCATTTAAGGTCAGCGTTGTTCACTAATTTTACTCTTAGTTTTGCTTAAAGCTTATTAACAAATACAGGAGAAGTTAGAAGATCAAAATGTTCATCGGCTGGTATTACTGATAATTGGCTTATTCCTGGTTTCTTATTCATCAGTGTCATTTAGTTACAACTAAAAAAATCTCTTTGCACAATATAGTTTGATATTGGACATAATTATTGTATGAATAAAACATCATTATTTCAGTGAAACTTACAAAGGATGGTGTTATCTGGGAGATAGATATATTTCCACAAGATAATGAAAACTCCATTTTAAACTCTAAAAATTAATCTATCTTTTATAACTGACTGAGTTTTTAACTTAACTATGTGGTAAACACTTGCCCAGCCTGGCAATGGAAATGCGAAGATTTGCAAACTGAGACCTTAAAAAGAAAAATTTTTAAAATTGTGTGTGTGTATATATATATGTATGTTCAGAGTTGCTTTTTATGGAGTAGTTGTTCATCATGAAAAGCACCAGATTGCTAAGTTTAGAAATGGTTAATCTAGACCTGTCTTCAGAGCCATCTTCACAGTGTACAAACGCTTGTGGGTGCTCAGTGAACTACCACTTACGTTCTTCCTCTTCCATCTCTGATAGAACAAAATGAATTTTGTGTAACTGCATGTGTCTCGGGGCCCTTCTTGGTTTGCAGTATCCATCCAAGTTCATTGGGATGCTTAGTTTTTACGATAAATCTGAGGAGCATAAAGATTTCTTACAGGTGCTCTTTCATTCCAAAATTCACATCACAAGATAGGAAAAAGGTGCCTGATAATGTATAAAAGCTGCTGGTGAATTGTAAGGAGTTGCTACTTGCACTGAATTAATTTTACAATAAGGAAGCAGGTTAACTGCTTTTAAACCCTGGTGATCCCGTCATGATGGACATCACAGAGTATGTGCTCTCACGCCTCATTATTTAGCATGTATGTGAGCAAGCTTGGGAAGGGAGTACAGAGAGAGAGGCTGATGGAAGTATTTTCAATATGTTGAGGAGGTTTTTTTTCCTCCGATGAGAGAAGGATAGACAAATCTCTCTGTTCTCCTGTTCCAGATTGGAGAAAATGGATGAGAGATAATTGGATTAAATGCTTATCTATATCAGACTGAGATAATTATGAACCATGGGAAGCAAACACAGGGTAGAGTGTAGGCTTCCTTTGTTCATTACTAAAGGTTGCAACACAGCCAGGCTGGTGCTTCATTAATGTACCACACTAATGCCTCTACAGTGCTTTCAGGACACAAGTTAGCTCATCTGAACTAGGTTAGGTAATTCTGTGCTATAACATGTTTTTACTTTTGGAAGCAGAAGTGGCTAGCAACTGCTTAAGTCCATAAAAGTTGTTTTGTTGTTTTGTTGTTGGGTGTGTGTGGGAGTGTGTGTGTGTGTTAAATTATACTTATGATACAAATTATGTCAAATAGATCAAGACTGACACAATAGCACCATGGAATCAATATTTAAATGAGATTCTTGTGTCATCTTAATTATATTTTCTCAGAAAATAATCTGACTTGTTATTTTGTTTGTCATGTTAGCTGTTGTATGATGTACACTTAATTGTAGTCATCTGGTTTTGTGTGTGTCATCTGGAGGAGAGTAATACTGAATGGTCTTTTGAGCAACTTCCGAATTTTTAAGCTTAAATGCATCACATTTGACTTGGTGTTTCTTTGATTGCACATACTGCCAAGTAAACAATCAAGGGGTAGTGAAATTATCTTAATGATGGAACCAACAGTTAGCGGAAGTACTTTTAGTTCATGCTAGGAGGGGATTTGACCATACTCTCAAGTACCAGTGGTCAGAGGATACCTGAAAACACACTTGAATCCTCTCTTCTTTCTTCCCTTCCCCACAGCAAACAAAACCAAACAAAACAGACGATTATGCTCCATAATGCCAAGCTAGTTATTTAATTTCAGGAATTTAGATTTGGGACTATTTCAAGGATCAAAAATCTGGACTGTTAAAACTCAGCAGTGAGTTCAGATGCTAGAACCCAAGGTATAAAAAATACAGTTTGCAAGAAGCAGCTTCGAATGACTTTGAGAAATTACTTCAGCATCTCACACTTAACAATTTATCTTGCAATAATAATAAAAAAATCCCTGAGAAATGAACCAGTCAAGGGCAGCAGTAAACTTCTTGAAGTTACATTTTTAGGGCATTAAACGAGCTCAAGGCTGCTAAGCCTTGTGATTAGCAGCCTGAATAAAAATATTTACATATATTAGATATCAAGGTATCACCGGATTGGATGTTTGTTAATTAAAGAGACTTGTGTGTCTTGCTGAATCTGTTAACATTTTTCTTTGAAAGCTTACATTAAGAAAATCCCAGAACATTAGGAAAAAATAATAATCTGTTAGATGTTGGTTGTCTGCATACTGTGTATTCTTAAATTATTTTTGAAAAAAGTAAACGTTTGAGCTGATGGCAGCAGGGGCTTGTGCATTAACCATAGACTTATGGCCCGCCTCCAAGGTAAGGTAACATCATGTGTTTTAAGATTTAAATCCGAGATTAATAGTATTTCTACTTGGAGTTTGATGCATGGGTAGAAAAAAGTACTGTCTGCTTTCTTTGCAATAGTTATTCCTTGTTAACCCACTGGGCAAGGGGCTGCTTAGAATCATAGAATTGTTTAGGTTGAAAAAGACTTTTAAGATCATCAAGTCCAACCATTAACGTAGCACTGCCAAGTCCACCACTAACCCATGTCTTTAAGTGCCACATTTACCCATCTTTCAAACACCTCCAGGGATGGAGTTTCAACCACTTCCCTGGGCAGCCTGTTCCAATGCTTCAGAATCCTTTCAGTGAAGAAGTTTTTCCTAATATCCAACCTCAACCTCCTGTGGCACAACTTGAGGCCATTTCCCCTTGTCCTATCGCTTGGTACTTGGGAGAAGAGACCAATCCCCACCTGGCTACAACCTCCTTTCAGGTAGTTGTAGAGAGTGATAAGGTCTCCCCTCAGCCTCCTCTTCTCCAGGCTAAACAACCCCAGCTCCCTCAGC